GATTGGTGTTGCTGAGCGTGGAAGTTCGTTATAAACGGAAAGTGAATATACAACTATCCTAAAAAGTAATATCCGGAAGTTCGTTATAAACGGGTTTGTTATAACCAGTAAAAAATGCGTTGGTCTTTATGGACGACGTTTCAATTAAAGGAAAAAAGTTCGTTTTAACCGAAAGTTCACTATAACCGGGTTTTTATAAGCGGACTTTACTGTACTATACATAATACTTTCTTTTAGGGGCTTTTAACTTGGTATTTCTCTAAACAAATGCTTATAACTGTTTCTCTTAATAGTTTTCTCATTCAGGACAGTTTGTCGGCATTATCGTTGTATATTTGAAATCAATTCAGTAGCGTTTTTCAGGTGGTAAAATTATTTGAAAAAGCTGGCCAAGTATCTATGTTGTATTATCTTTACTATGTTGTGGCCACCGCATTTCTTTCCCTGATATCTATTTTGGAACCGATGTATGATAAGCACAGAGTTTTTTCGGGAAACGCTACGGTTTCCCCCGGAAAAACGCCTCTGCCCTTGTGGTTTCCTTATGATGTCCAGGCGCATTATTGGGCAAGTAAACTGGTGCTAATGGCTATCGAAAATGCGACTAAAGACTGATTTATAGGAGACATTTTTCCTGACAATTTTGCTAGTTTGGGCAGTGGTGCTTTTTCAAGTCGGAATGGACGTTCTGTTTTTCTACTTTATCCGAAGTCCGGTTATTCAGTTGGAAATTCTGCATCATTATTTGAAACATTTCAATTATTACACTGCACGGATTAGTGTGGAGCCAGGAAACGTTGCATCCAACATCATGATGAAAAAGTGCATCGAAATGCATCAAAAAGTTATCAAGTAAGTGCGGAACTAATGCCGAACTCACCCGCCTGACGAAGACTCGTTTGTAGGTTTGTGGACATTTTCAATGAGAACTTTAGCAACATTATGGTGTTGGATTTTGTTCAATCGTCCCTTCGCCTTGCTTCTATATGCGTCGTTATAACAATGGTAACTATTTCGATTCATCGTTTTTTTGTTTATAAATGAAGCTTCCGTTTCAGACTGAGTCAGTTACAGTGTCTAGTTTCGGTTTTACGCTAATTTACTTATGGATATCAATAATAAGGGAATATTATATTTACCATTCAGGAAATGAGATAATTTTCTTGGTGAGTGCAACTCACTAACTAAAGTCCAAAAGTTTAATAAAAAACAATGTTCATAGAGCTCGGAATTGGTGCACTCGGTATATGAGACAGATTGGCACGAAGAAAACCGCCAATTTAAATATATGGTCGCAATGTTTATGGTAAGGGCTGGCAAGCCCTTAAACATAAAAATTGGCCCTTTTGGTAGCTTAGGCTTGCCCGCTTTCCTCTCTGTAACCGTTCGAACACGCAGATTTAACCATTTTTTAACCACTTTTCTTCAGATTCTGCGAGCCAGTTTTTCGTACTTTTCACTTGTGACTGGAACTCAACAGTTATAAATTACTCCACAAAAACTCATCGTCGAATCGTCAGTAGACGAAGGAGAAACCCACACAAATAATTGTACTAATTGACACTAAGCACTAATAATATTTTCAGAATATGATAGTTTTAGCGTTAAGTGTTGCAAGGGTTTAGCTGATTGGGGTGAATAAAGCACAGATTTTTTATAACAAAATCTAAAACATCTATTACAAAATATAAAATGGGGACTTTAGGCCCTTTATGGCTGCAAAGGTCCTAACAGTGTACAATGGGGAAACGATAGGCAAATTTATTTTTACAACTATTTCCCAGATCAGTTAGAAAGGGGAAAGTTGAGATTGAAAGTATGAGAGTGTATAACTGATACAATTTTATGCAAAAAACTTGAGGAGTTTTTGGGCTTTTAAGCGATAGTGAAAAATAAACCGTTTTGCATGCACAAGTGGCGTGCATCTTCAGTGAAAGCCAAAGTAGTAAGAATTTTTACGACAGCTAAAAGCCTGATGAATCCTCCAGTTTCAAGCGAAGTTATTCTTAAATTCACCTCAGGTCATGAACAATATCAACCAATGGAAAACATCTTCTTGTTAGCAACTGGTCAATTTATTTATGTATTTTATATTTATTTAAATATAAATTATATGTCGAACAGCAATAGATTTTAAATTTTAGACAGTGACTTAATTTCCAGTTAAAAGTCCCCTTAAACCCACTTTTGCATGTTACACCCTGTATAAACTTGAAAAATTAAAGACCTAAAATGGAAACAAAATTAGATAAATGCAAAAAGATTTGCAAAGCGCATTTTTCAGTTTTGATGCAAAAAAGCTACCGGCAAAATAAGAGCAATTTTTCTGAACTTTTGCTACTAAAAACTGAATTTATGTGGGGCAAAAGAAGTTCCGGAACATCGTGAATATTACAGATTCCTTGATGCATCACCCTGTATATATAGGCAGATACACTTATAGCAATGGCTGTTGCTATAGCGTATCATTGAGTTATTTAGCTAATTACGAGTTATCTAGTTATGATTACCATTATACAACCCATGAAGATAAACATTTGGCTTAAATTGTACTGACTCTAGTTTACGGGTATTTTTCATTAAAAAACTACACCACACGTCTACACATCTACCAACAATCTTTACAATGAGCTTGAGGAAAATTGGCTGCATTTTACTCAAGATCGCAGTATCTATCCGAGATAGATTCAATTTCTGCACATGCTAGAGGAACGGAAGGCATTCGTTCATCTAGTCGGATATCAAAGAAAACGGCGGCATATTGAATGGAAAGAAGGCACAATTCCATTAAATTTGCCAACGAAAAAATGGGGAAAATTGGAGAGTTTTTGTGACAAAACGAAAAAACTTGGAAAAACTGTCCATTTCCCACAAATATCTGCGAACCTCTTTGATAATATGGAGGTGCTTCAATTAACTACATGTACATTTAAGGCTACAAGTTTTATACACTACTTGGCTAATAGACGACTCTTATAGGAATATGAAAAATCACAGATCAGTACCTTTTGTGGCCAGTGTATCTGCCACAAAAGGGCCTAAAGGTGTACATTTTTTAAATGTGAAAACCTTTTAAAACGAAAAAACTTAGACTAACCATTCGATCGTGTAGGACCTCACCACTCCTAATTCTGGTCAAACTTCGGTGCCTCCACAGTAGGTGAGGGCGTTATTTGGCTCCGCCTGCCACATGATTCGCCATCGCTGCGTTAAAGCACAATGAGAACGGCGCAAATGTTGAGCAAAAATCGCGCTTACCTCTACACAGCTGCCTGGAGTGATGGCGAACTTATACAGAATGTAGAGCGGGATGCAAACGATGGAGGAGGCGGTTAAAATGTAGCCAACCTGGAGGCTCCACGCCGGATACTTGTACTCCTTGCCCAGCATTTCTTCGTGGTTTAGCAGCGAGCAAACGAAGATGATCTGGAAAAGGTTCAGTTTGCCCACTGCCAGACTTGGGAGGCTGCCTTAAACTCACCAGCAGGAAAACGGGGCTGATGTACTTCCAGCAGATCCTCCAGAAAAGCCCCGGCCGTTTGCCGATCATTTGCTCGATATCCCTGGAAAACCTGTCGGTTCCATACAGCCAGAAAATGCCGGCGGCTTCCACGAACACTATGAAGAGGATGGCCAGCCCTGGCCCGTAGATGTTCAGCATATTGACTAGGTAGACGCCGCCCTAGGGAGTGGGGAAAATCACCCAAATCCTCCCAAATAGTGCCGCAATATCTACTTACATAGGTGGTAGTAGGCAAGGCACATATGTAAATCCCTAGGAGAAAAACAGCGACGAAAACCTCCCGATGCCTGCCCAAAGTGCGCGGGTACTCATCACAGAGCGCTGTAATCATCGCTTCCAGACCCCCAAAGGTACTATCCAGGCCCAGGGTGATCAGCATCAGGAAGAAGATTATTGACCAGAACACCGAGCCACTCATAGTGGCGATCGCCTCAGGGTACACGATGAAAACTAGGCCGGGACCTGAAACGCATCCATTGTTCATCTGCAAACAATTGCTGTTTTCCATGAGTTAAAACGCACCTTCAAGGCCCACTTGTTCGATGCTCTTGTGCTGCACATGTGCCATGTACCCTAGCACGGAAAAAATCACAAACCCGGCCAGGAAACTGGTCAAACAGTTTATAGTACTTGTGATCACTGCGTCCCGATAGCAGTTGTTGTTGAACTTGTTGTAACTGGATAGGGCCAAGAGGGTGCCGAATCCAGGGCCGAGGGAGAAAAAGATCTGGGAGGCCGCATCGATCCACACTTTTCGATTGTACAACTTGTGCCACTCTGGTGTCAGATAGTATCGGATGCCTTCCATAGCTCCAGGCAGTGTCACGCCACGAGCCAGCAGGATGATGAGGACCACGTACGGGGCCAACGCCGTCACCCATACGGCCTAAAATCCAAGAAGAGGTAAAGGAAAGAGCATGACAGTCTGTTTATATACAGGAAAGCTTGCAGGATGTTACGATTTCAAGGTTTTTAACCAGTTTTCTTGGAGCAGTTGCTCCAAGAAGTCACACCTTGAAGTACTAGATCGCGCTTAACGAACGCAAGTAGTGGGTGGACACTATTCCATAGACGATATCGATTCGGCATTAACTGCTAAACCGATCAAGGCCACTTAAACATCCGTATACAGGGCGAGAAAAAAGTTGGAGCCACTTGAACCCAAACAAATCCTAAAGGAACGCGTACAGATACAACTTAACGACTTTAGCTAAATTTGTTGGGAAAACATCTTTAAAAAGAGACAAATATAACTTGAACACTCTGTATATTATAGCGAGAACTTGGAGGACTTTTTTGGTAACTCCTGGCAATTTCTGAAAGGTTCTTCCCGGTAAAATGGGGCAAGAAGTCATCCTTTGAAGAATTAGATCGCGCTTAAAGAACGCAGGTAGTGGACACTTTTCCATAGACAATATCTCAAAAATGGTTGATCTGCGGACTTTTCACTAAGTCAACTTTTTTGTTCGCTATTAATTGCAAAACGGATCAAAGCCACTCAAACATCAGTATACAGGTCGAGGAAAAAGTTGGAGCCACTTGAACCCAAACACATCCTAAAGAAACCCGTCCAGATAAAACTTAACGACTTTAGCTAAATTTGTTGGGAAAACATCTTGAAAAAGAGACAAATATAACTTGGACACTCTGTATATTATAGCGAGAACTTAGAGGACTTTTTTGGTAACTCTTAGCAATTTCTGAAAGGTTCTTCCGGGTAAAATGGTGCAAGAAGTCAGCGTTTGAAGTATTAGATCGCGCTTAAAGAACGCAAGTAGTGGACACTTTTCCATGGACAATATCACAAAAATGGTTGATCTGCGGACTTTCCACTAAGTCGACTTTTTTGTTCGGTATTAATTGCAAAACGGAACAAAGCCACTCAAACATCCGTATACAGGGCGAGAAAAAAGTTAGAGCCACTTGAACCTAAACACATCCTAAAGAAACCCGTCAGATTGAACTTAACGACTTCAGCTAAATTAGTTGGGAAAACATCTTGAAAAAGAGACAAATATAACTTGAACACTCTGTATATTATAGCGAGAACTTAGAGGACATTTTTGGTTACTCTTAGCAATTTCTGAAAGGTTTTTCCGGGTAAAATGGGGCAAGAAGTCAACGTTTGAAGTATTAGATCGCGCTTAAAGAACGCAAGTTGTGGACACTTTTCCATGGACAATATCACAAAAATGGTTGATCTGCGGACTTTTCACTAAGTCGACTTTTTTGTTCTTTATTAATTGCAAAACCAATCAAAGCCACTTAAACATGCGTATACAGGGCGAGAAAAAAGTTGGAGCCACTTGAACCCAAACACATCCTAAAGAAACCCGCCCAGATAAAACTTAACGACTTTAGCTAAATTTGTTGGGAAAACATCTTGAAAAAGAGACAAATTTAACTTGGACACTCTGTATATTATAGCGAGAACTTGGAGGACTTTTTTGGTAACTCTTGCAATTTCTGAAAGGTTTTTCCGGGTAAAATGGGGCAAGAAGTCACTCTTCGAAGTATTAGATCGCGCTTAAAGAACGCAAGTGGTGGACACTTTTCCATAGACAATATCTCAAAAATGGTTGATCTGCGGACTTTTCACTAAGTGGACTTTTTTGTTCGGTATTAATTGCAAAACGGACCAAAGCCACTCAAACATCAGTATACAGGGCGAGGAAAAAGTTGGAGCCACTTGAACCCAAACACATCCTAAACAAACCCGTTCAGATTGAACTTAACGACTTCAGCTAAATTAGTTGGGAAAACATCTTGAAAAAGACACAAATTTAACTTGGACAGTCTGTATATTATAGCGAGAACTTGGAGGACTTTTTTGGTAACTCTTAGCAATTTCTGAAAGGTTCTTCCGGGTAAAATGGGGCAAGAAGTCACTCTTCGAAGTATTAGATCGCGGTTAAAGAACGCAAGTAGTGGACACTTTTCCATGGACAATATCACAAAAATGGTTGATCTGCGGACTTTTCACTAAGTCGACTTTTTTGTTCGGTATTAATTGCAAAACGGATCAAAGCCACTCAAACATCCATATACAGGGCGAGAAAAAAGTTGGAGCCACTTGAACCCAAACACATCCTAAAGAAACCCGTCCAGATTGAACTTAACGACTTCAGCTAAATTTGTTGGGAAAACATCTTTAAAAAGCAAAAAATATAACTTGGACACTCTGTATATTATAGCGAGAACTTAGAGGACGTTTTTGGTAACTCTTAGCAATTTCTGAAAGGTTCTTCCGGGTAAAATGGGGCAAGAAGTCATCCTTTGAAGAAATAGATCGCGCTTAAAGAACGTAAGTAGTGAACACTTTTCCGTAGACGATATCTCAAAAACGGTTCATCTGAGCGCTTTCCACTGAGGAAATTGCAAAAAATCAAACCAAACATCTGAATACAGCGCGACAAAAAACTTGTCGCAAAAACTATCGCATGAAAAATATGAGAAACGTCGTCCAGTTCTGATTGTAGAAAATGCAGCTAAACTACCCTGTAAAAGAATCACTCTTTACCTCCCGTAAAAGCTGATAAAAACTATTCATCTTCTCATCCTCTACTGTAAACGACTAAAGAATCAACAGCTCCTGCTGCTCTCAGCTCACTTACCTTTCCCGTACTCTTCACTCCCTTCCACAAGGAAAAATACACTAAAATGAACACGGAAAACACACTGAGTGCCAACGCCGGCTTGATCGGGCCCATTCTATTGAGGCCATCGGATTTATACTGCTCCAGAACTTCCCTCCTGAAAAGGCCAGAAAACATTCAACCGGTTTGAAAAATAGTTCGCAAAACATACTCGAAAAACTCTTTGGCTGGCGTTGTAGAATTGAGGTTTGGTCGGATGGCTGTGGCAGTGACCGGCAGGCAATCTATAGTGTTCCATTCGTTTGTGCACTTCGTCCATGGAAGTTCGCTGGTGAAACTGGCCACTAAATAGTAAACCGCCCAGCCAATGATTGTGTTGTAGTACATGCCCATGTAGATGTCGATCAGGCAAATTGCATAGCCAACACCTGCAAAAGTGGGGCAAAAGCGTAAAAACCAGCTGAAATTGACTTTTTCCCATTTTCTAATCGACCAAATTAAACACACTCGATTGAATGGGGGGGCTGTTAATTTAAACCTCGCAAAGGAAACACAATGGTCTCTTCATGTAGTCGAGTGCCTCATTGTTGCTCAATCGCCCATTTGCTTGATTTCCTGCTATATCCTGATTGCTTACATACGTAGTCAATTCCAAATAAAAATTATCTCCTGGGTTTCAGTCATTTATTGTCTTTATTTATCAATTAAAATACGTTTCGGTGTATTTTTCCACCATCATCAGTTTTTACGTGTAGCGTTGTT